GGCGAGCCGCGGCCGTCGGGCCGCTTTCTCTCCACGGCCCAGGCCCCATGCTTTGGTTAGCCAGGTTTTCTTTTTGATTTTTCTTCTTCTTTTTTTTAAGAGACAGAGTCTCCTTCTGTCGCCCAGGCTCGAGTGCTGTGGCGCGGTCATAGCTCACTGCAGCCTCTCCTGGGCGGCTCGAGCAATCCTCCCGCCTCGGCCTCCCGTGCAGCTAGGCCTACAGGTGCGCGCTACCACGCCAGTTTTCTAAAACGCCTGCAGAACTTTCCTTGTCTCCTCGCTCAGCGCCCCCTGGCGGACGCTAGAGTCAGGGCACGGGGTCTCCAGACATAAAAGTCCACTGCTTCTCCCAACGACCCCTAGTCCCAGGGCAAGGTAAGTGGCTTCTCACTCTGCAGCTTGGGGTAGGTGAGTTCTCCAGGTGTGTCTCTTTTGTCTGCAGAGCTGGGGAGAGGGAATCGTCTTCAAAAGGGGTGGGCAGATTCCTTTTCGAGGTCTGGATGGGAAGGGAATACCTGAAAGAATCTGGGGAGGACTGGGGCAGCAGAAAGCCCTACCTGCATGGGGTTATTCCTAAGGTCTGGTTTTTCAGGCACTCTTGGAGATGTGTCCAAAAGCTTCGTGGACCTGAGTGACCCAAGTGAAGCGAACAACTACTGGGCTTTGAACTTGACCTCCATGCTCTGCCTGACCTCTAGCATCTTGAAGACCTTCCCCGACAGTCCTGGCCTCAGCAGGACCGTAGTTAACATCTCATCCATCTGTGCCCTGCAGCCCTTCAAGGGCTGGGCACTGTACTGTGCAGGAAAGGCTGCTCGCGACATGCTGTTCCAGGTCCTGGCTGCAGAAGAACCAAGTGTGAGGGTGCTGAGCTACGCCCCAGGTAGGTGGGAAGTACTGCCATCCCTGCCTGCCACAACTGACTGGTTCTCCTCTGGGGACTGGGCAAGGGGCCTAGTCTGCGCTGTCCAGGAAGGACCCACAGAGTATTCTGTCCCTGAATCATGAGCCATCTCATCACCCCTTAGGGCAAATCTAGACTTCAAGGATGTTAGGACTGGCAGGGGGCAGAGAGTGGGGAATTGCCTGGGTGGGAGCTTGGGGCAGGAAAGTGAGGTATTAGCTGGAGTTTGAGAGAAGACAGGGTTTATATTCTGGACTTGTACCTGATTTCTTCATGTGAAATGGGGAAGATGCTACCTGTCTCACAGGGCACTTTAGGGGATTGAATGAGATAATCCTGGAGGTGCCAGAAAATGTGTATACATTTTAAGTGATATTATCTATGTGTTACTTTTAGTTTGCCATAATAAGAAGTGTCTGGATGCTGATGGCAACCACTTTGAGCACCCTTTGTAACTGCAGAGGTCAAACATGACTTGTATTCATCTACAGTTTTAATATTTTTTTCCTTTCTTAAAATGTGTATACATTCTTCTGTATATGTGAAAACAATCCTTACCTATGAAATGCTATCCTCTTAAGTAGGACTTATCATACTGTATTTTCTTTGTATGTTTACTTGTCTCCTTCCCTCCCTTGACAGGAACCGTGTACTATTTACCCATATGTTCTCAGCATCCAGCAAAGCACTGCACTAAGGCAGTCTTCAGTACATGCTAGTTGAATGGGGGAACAGATGTTGTTGAGTGTTGGCCATCCTGGCTAAGCTGTGCTGGGGGACATTGCTTGGATAAATTAGAGCCCTTGTCCTCATGAAAGTCAAAGGGTAGGGAGTCTGGTGTATGCCACTCAGTCTGGTTTCTGACCACCCTACCATGATGCACAGTGCCCTTTTCTTAACATTGAGGATTCTGTTCTGGGCTTGAGGTTGCTTCATTTATTTAGAAGGTGGTGACAGCAGCAGTAGAATGCCTGAGCAACTTATGTTGAGATCCAGCAGTCTGTCCCCCCTTGGGAACAGGATCAGGATCCTACTTTATTTCCAGGGTCGTCTTCATGTTCTCCAGTACCCAGCCTTCCCTCCTCCCCGACACACATGTATACAAGCAGTTATTCTTGCAGCCAGCATTCGACTCATCACCCCCTCAGCTTGGCCTAGGATTCACTCACACAGTGGCTAGATGGAAACTACAACCAGGAGCAGAGCAGACTCCAGAATGCCATGTGGCTGAATGAGATAATGTGTGTGAAAAGTATCCTTACCTGTGAGATGCTGTCCTGTTAATTAGGACTTATCACACTGTTTTTGTCTTCATATGTTTGCTTGTCTCCCTCCCTGCCTTGACAGGAAAGCCTTGAAGGCAGGGGCCATGTACCATTTATCTCTATGTTCTTAGCACCTACAAAGCCCTGCACTAGTTCAGTCTGTAGTGCTTGCTAGTTGAATGGAGAGCAGACATTGTTGAGTGCTGAGGTTAGATCTCAAAGCTGTCCTGGGCATTATGAGGGAGCTGAGATTTTTTTCAGGATGTCCCAGGGCCTGAGCAAAGGCAGAGACCAGTCTGGTTACATTTCAACCTCAGGAAGAATCTTCTAATAAGTGTTCAAAGAGAAGGAGCTATTTGAAAAGGTAGCAAGTCCTTGATTGGAAGAATCAAGGATCGGGAGGGTGATTCTCCCTCCAATCTTGACATTGTGATTTTCTGCTCCTGGGGACTATTAACTCCAAATTGCGAAGTGCTTTGATTCCTATATGAAAAATAGAAAGTGCTTATAAGAATTCAAGGAGGGAACAATTCGCTTTAGGTGGGGTGACTAGAAATGGCTGAACTGGACATTGACCTTGGGGGCTGCTTGGGTGTTATCTGGTGGGAGGTACTTCTGATAAAAGCAGGTGAAGGTGGGGAAGCTCTTTAAGGGAGTGACAGGTCTTCTGGTTTGGCTGGAGGCTAAGTGTGCCCTGAGGTGAGCGGATAAGGAGGTTTTGAGTACTAGGCCAGGCAGTGAGGAAGCCATTGCGGGGTTTTGAGCAGAGGAGTGCTGTATTCCCAGTGATGTTTTAGCAAATGAATTTATCAGAGGGCTAGGGAAGGAGCTGAAGCAGGAAGGGAACCAGGGCTATAAGAAGGACCCATTGTCAGAATATAGGGATGCGAAAGATGTACCTAGTGCTGGTTGGCTGTGGTCTAGGGGGAGAGGGAAGGAGGAGGTGATGGTGCTTTTGAGACTGGGAGAAGAGTACTTCATTATTAGAAAAGGGAAAGTCAGGAGATGGTGTTGGTTGCACAGTAGACGAGAAGCTTGACTTTAGACATGGTGGTCTGGAGGGTCTACGTTCAGTGAACTTTAGAATTTGAGTCTCAACTCAGTAGTTACAAAAGCATAGCCTTTGGCAGCCCTGGCTACGCATTTCAGCCAAGCTGAAGTGTTGCCTCGGGTCAGACCTGCCTCCACCCCCCCCCAGTGGGACTTTCTGGCCCTGCCTTGCTGCTTTCTCATCTCCTTCTTTTCACCCCTAGGTCCCCTGGACACAGACATGCAACAGTTGGCCAGGGAGACCTCCGTGGACCCAGAATTGCGAAAAAGGCTGCAGGGGCTGAAGGCAAAGGGGGAGCTGGTGGACTGCCGAGTGTCAGCCCAGAAACTGCTGAGTTTGCTAAAAAAGGACACGTTCAAGTCTGGAGCGCACGTGGACTTTTATGATAAATAAGCCCATGACCTTGGCTGTCTGGGCCTTCCTGCCCCCACTTTCAGGCACATCCTAGACCCCTATGCCTTCCACATTCTGCCTCAGTGGCAGCCCTGCCTTACACGGATAAGCATCCATGCTTACTGTCCTGCCCTCAGACGCAGTCAGCTATGAGCCTTTGGGCTGCTGTCCTTACCAGTTGTCAGGAGTCTGTACCCTGGATTGTGAAGAAGTTTCCATAGGAGACTTAGGAAAGAGGTTAGGAGTGTTAGTGTGGCCTAGCCTCAGGAACAGAATTTTAGGGCTGAGAAGAACAGAAAAAGAACTGAAACATTGAAGAGAGGAGGTGAGATCTTCCATCCATGACCAGTCCCTGGGGAGAGTGATCTTGTTTCAAATAGGACCCATGTAGAGTCACAGAGGGCCTGGAGGGACAGGAGTGCAGACAGTACAAGTTTCAGCCCACACAGAAACCCTTGCTCAGAGAGGCAGACCTTCTATTGATCTTCAAGTTCACATTCTGATACCCCCTTCCTCCAGAACCCACCACCCCTCCCCCAGGTTGAGAGAAGGGGCACCCGAGAGTCTATATATGTGGCAAAAGCAGATACAAATAAAATGTGGATTGTTCACCATTCATGTCTGCATTCTCCTCTAATACAGGGCCCATGACTAACTCCCTGGTTCACTAGGCCCAGGGGAGTTCCTGAGACAGTTAACCCAAATAGGGGGCTGCCCTTATTTACTAGGGAGCCTCCCTCACCAAGCACCACTTAGTAGCAAGGTCTAAGTAAAGTTGTTCAAGATGAGCATGCCCAGATGCCTTTCTTCATGCTGTTTCCCTCACTGTCTTTACTACCCTTTCCTCACCCTTGGGCTATTCAAAGAGTGTCCATCCTTCAGGGCTCTGCTCACAGCCTGTGGTCCGTGGGGATGGGTCCTTTCCTTGGCTCTCCTCTGCTTCCCAGTTTTACCCTTTGCCCACATGCAGAGCTCTGGCTGCATGCCAGCTCCTATTGGTCCTCTTGGCATTGTCCATCTGGCCCGTGGTCCTGGTCCTCGGTGGGGTGGGCTTAGGACCAACATGCCTCTGGGAGAGATGGGCAAGTTTCCAAGAGGGAACCCCCAGGGCTGCAGCCAAGCCAGTCCTTCAAGCTGGTAGGTGTGGGCTGAGTTGGGAGCTCCACAGTAGTGGTGTTGGTCTACAGCCAGCTCCCTGGCCCCTGACCCATATTTGGAAGGAGAAAGCATGACTCCTGCCAGCTGACTCCAGGACCTCGTCCTACCTGAGTGCACAGAAGGGGCCTCTCTTTTATCCTCCTTGTGCTCAGCAGGGGGCGCTCCAAGTTCGTGCCTCCTGGAAAACCTGCGGCAGCTCCTCTTGCTGAAGGACAGGGCCAAGCTGGCAGCACCCTGTGGGTCTCCCAGGAGTAAGCAGCTCTTATCTGGTCCAGCAGAGCCCTTGCCCTCACACCTCCATGTCCCTCTTCCCCCACAGAATCAAAATTGCTGGGCTCAAATTCGTGCTCTGCTACGTACCAGCTGGTAATTCAGGGCAAGTTACTTCTCTGTGCCTCAGTTTCCTTATCTGAAAAATGTAGATGACGTTGGCACCAACCCCAAAGGATCGTGATGAATATGAAGTGGCCTAATGTTTCCATGTTTAGCGTGGTGCTAGCATAGCATTACAGTGAATGCCCCGTAGATGTAAATATTGTTTATTGCTTTTTTTTTTGAGTTGGAGTCTCTGTCACCCAGACTGGAGTGCCGTGGTCGTTCCCGGCCACCGCAGCCTTGACCTGCTGGGCTCCGGTGATCCTTCCGCCTCAGCCTTCCAAGGAGCTGGAACTAAGGGCGCACATTACCACACCTGGCTAATTTTTGATTTGTTGTAGAGATGAGGTTTTGCCCACTTGCCCAGGCGGGTCTCGAACCTGCGGGCTCAGGCAATCCACTCACCTCAGCCTCCCAAAGGCGTGGGATTACAGGCTGAGCCACCGAGCCCGGCTTGTTTATTGCATTTTAATAATCAAGATCCAGATCACCCTGGAGACCCTCTCGCAACCCCATCTCCTGCGGGTGGCCCAGGTGCCCTCCTCTTGCTGACCTGTGGCTAGAACCCTCACTGCACTGGCCCTACTCCAGACTTCCTTGGCAGGGGTGAGGGGGACTGGGGTACAGTCTGGACACCTTGTCTTGGACTCAGGAAAATGAATGAGCTTTGGAGTCAGAAGCCCTGGATTGCACTTCCCTGTCTGTGACAGATGCTGTGCGGTGTTGGGCAGAGCCCCGCTCCCTCTCTGGGCTTCAGTTTCCTTAGAGCAGTGAGCTCCTAGACTCCTCCCTGCAAGCCTCCAAGGTGTTTCAAATGTGGCTAGGTTCATGCTGTGCTGCGTGGTGGGTGGATTTCCTCACTCAGCCTCTTGTTCTCAGGTCAATGCTAACCCAAGTCCATCAGGGTTGACTCCCCTTGAGACTGGTTGGCCAGGGGCTTAGTGAGCAATACCATGTGTCCCCACAAGGTGGCGAAGCCCTCCCATGCCTGACGTTTGTCTTCTCAGAGCTCAGAGGTTTAAGAGCTCCCTAGGTCTGTCTCTCCCTACAGTTAAGGATTCTGGACTCTCAGACGCCTCCAGGGAACTGGGGAGGACAGAAGGGGCGGGATTATTCTCCCCTGGCAGGTCCCAAGACCTTCTCATAGAGGTCTCTGCCCGCAAAGATTTCCCTGGACTAAGCTTCCCCAGATCCCCTAACGCGGGGGCAAGGAGGCTTTTGTGCCAGCCTCCAGGCCATAAGCAGCCACCCTCCAGGGGCTAGCCATCTGTGTTCCCAGGGTGTGTGGCCTGGCCTTGGCCACCACACACATGATCACATGCAAGTGCACACACACAAATACATGCCTGAATGTGCCCAGGGCCTAGCTGCTGGAGCAAGCCGGGCCACAGATTAGTCAAAAGACAGATGCGGTTTCTCTTTTGTCTTTGGTGTGAGAGGGTGGGGCAGCTTTTTGGTTTTGTGTTTAATTCTCCTACACTGGGGCCAGCAGGAGCAGGGGAGTGAGGGAAACATTCCAGGCCCACTCCTGTGAACTCCAGCACCTCTGTCCATGAGCACCAACTGCAACTAAGCTAGTTGGGAGTTTCCCCTCAACCCTCAATTGCTGTCCTTTGTCCCATAAACGCGCATGCTGTCACACCCAGGCTGGCCCTGAGTTCATTGCCAGCCATCAGGAGCTCCCCCGCAGGACATGTTCTACCCTCGTATCTCCCCATATCTCCTCTTGGGAAACTGGACCCTGGGATGCTGCCTTCAAGCCTCCTTCACCCACATCCTTCCTACAGAACATGGCTTCATATGCCGACATGTGTGTGCAGTAATTCTGATACATATCAAGTGTGTGTGCCCTGTGTGAACATGCCCAAGAGCGCTCAGCTTGCTTCCTCACCTGTGGGCTCCTGTGTGGTGACAGGGAGGTAGGTGATGAGCACTTACCATTGGTTCCTGAGTAGAGACTCCATGGGCTGACACATCTCTCAGTGATCCGGGGCGCAGGAGAGGAGGGGAGTGGACCAGAGGTTACAAGGCAGCTTGCTGGGAAGTCAGCTGAGGGACCACTCCAGTCTCTGGGGCTAGCTAGGGGAGGCGCTGGAGGATAGGGTTATGGAGGGAGAGGGGAGCAGTGCTGGATGTTCTCTCAGACTTTGGAAATAGATCCCACCCCATTGCCACTGGAGGGAGTTACTGTTACTTCCATCAAGACTCCCCTCCCTCACCCTTTGTCTCTCATCTTACCTGCAGAGCATGGCATCTTCAGCCCTACCTGCCCTTGTGTGAGCTGGGAGAACCCTGGACTGCTATTTTTAGAAACAAGTTGGGGGAAAAGAGAAAGGGAGGAAAAAGGAAATTATTTTCTTCCTTTGAGGCTCCATCTCTCAGCCTTTTCCCAGCTGACCCCAGCAACTCAGAGGGATTTCTCAGCTCACTTGACTAAAGCTGTCTGGCGGCCTCACAGCCCTCAGGACCATCCCAGGACAGCCTCATACTCCCTATCTCCACCCTCGGCTGGAGCCACGGCAAGGGGCAGGGACAGCTGCGTCATTTTTCTGAAATAAGGTGGGTTTTTTCTAAGAGTCTGTTCTTGTGGCCTGCCTAGGTGGGACAGAAAAGTTACCGGGTAAAGTGGTGTTGAAAGGAGGCAAGTCCTCGCTCTGCTCTGAAGCATTGAGGCAGAGAAACAAAACAGACATAGCGAGAGTCAAAGATTGAGATAGGGTGAGCAGGACAGCAGGAGAGGAAGATGTAGAAAGGGACAGAAACAGGGAAATACGGAGGAAAACAGAGAGAGATGTAAAGATTCAAAAACAGTAAGATTCAGATGGAGGGAGAGAGACCGCTGAAGAAGCCACACACACTCACACACACCACTCATACTCTCTCTCTCACACACACACACACACACACACACACACACACACACACACACACACACAGCCGGGCGTGCACTCACGCAGCCGCCCTGAGCCTTGCTGGAAATAATCTCGTTCGCGACGCCAGGGCCTCAGCTGCACAGGCGTTACAGAGCTGTTACCTTGCACATCTGTCAGCTCCAAATGTAGAAGCTGTCAGAGGGTTGTGTGTGTGTGAGTGTGAGGGTGTGTGTGTGCATGCCTATTCCTCCCAGAGGATTCTGAGACCTTAGCCAACAGAAGGAGATCCCCAAGGGCCTGGAGCCTCTCCAGGAAGTCCAAGCCTGGGGAAGCAAGCTCACCCCTTTTCTTTCTGCACAGGGAGAGGCCAAGGGGCCACTCGGTGTTGGGATATAGCCCACTGGACTTGTGGATAGCCCATCTGAGACCTGGCTTGACCACTTACAGCCATGTGACCCTGGACAGTCACTTCTCAGTGCAGCTGGGTGGGGATGTCAGGTGGGGGTGTCAGGAAGCCATGCCACCTGCACCCAGAGGGGTAGTGATGAGCACCTGGCCTGATGTGAGTTGGTCACTCCAGGTATCTCAGGGATTTTTCTTATCTAGCTTATTGCTTGGAAGTCCTTCCTATGTCTGACTCCGATGTCTGGGGATGCACACAGATGCCTCTGGGCAACTGAGGACATTGCCCTCCTCTGGCCTGCTCTTCTACCCGCTGTTCTTTTTGCTGGACCCAAGGTTGGGTCTGCAGGGGGTCTAAAGACCTCAAACTCTAAGCCTCCAGGAGCAGAGGGTTGGCATAAAGCCCAGAGGACATGAGAATGTTTCGCCTTTTCTTGTGAGGATGCTTGGGAAGAACCTGATGTCCTTCTCTCTGGTGACCCTTTCCAAGTTTTCACACCCTACACCCAAATGTCAGGTCGTTCTTTTGTGTGTGTGTGTGTGTTTGCACTCTCTCCTGTTTTAATCTAAGCTATTCATAGGGAAGTTTTACAGCCATGAGGAAGAGGCCCTAGAAACTATCCAGTAAGGAGGGTGGTCTTTTTCACTCGATATTAAAGCAAAGGGAGAGCCCGGCCAAAGGGACCCAGCCCTGTGTTGGTGCTCTTCCCACAATACCATGCCCACCTCCATTTAAGTCTCCTCTGACCCATGGACCTGACCTCTCAAGACACGAGTAAAAGGTACAAAGACCTTGTCATCCATCC